AGTTATCTTGGGGCCTTGCTCACAGGCGAGGGCTGGCCCGGTGATGTGTCAGCAGTAACTCAGGCGCTGATCGTCCTGAACGCCGCCCTGAGAAGAGACCCGGGGAGGAATAACCCATCTGATCCAGCCTGTGAACGCTATCAGGATCCTCTAGGAAGAGCTGCAGATGCAGGCCGAACTTGGCCACTCAGGCCAGGTCAATCAATGTCAGAAAATGGATGGAAGAATGTAAAGACCAAGTGTTTTGAGGCTCGAGTCACCCCGGGGACCAAGTCGGATTGTGTCAGCCTCTGCTGTTTCAGTTCTGTGTTTTTCTATTCACATGCGCTTTATGAAGGTGCAACGCTAAATCAATGTAACGGTGATATTTCTTAAATGTTTTAGGTAAATTATCTAGTTGTATTAAATCTGACAGCACTGGGATCTGAGGCACTGCTGACCTGAGCCAAGTTACTTACTATTACTTACTGCTGACCTGAGCCAAGTTACTTACTCTGTTTATTGATTTGATATTGGTAAGAACATTTTTAATACACAACTTCTTGTAAAATCTTGTTTTTCGATCTTATCTATGAACAGATTTTGCACTTCTGAACGAACTGTTAAATTCTTGCAGGAAAAGCAACAAAGACCATTTCAGACATCACTAACATGAAGCTTTCTTTTTACAAAATCTACGGTTATTGTTGCTTATTCAAACTGCTGCATATTGATTATTGATTTCAGCTGTTCAAGTGTTGTTTTCGAAGGCATCCAAAAGTAGCAACGGTCTTTCAAAAGTGACGGTGTAAAGAGCCGATTCTCCACCTTGTTTACGGCTGTTTGTCTTGAGGAAATCATCTGAACAGATTCTATTTTGATAAGCAAAAGCCACGAAGAGATAAAACTTTCAATCTTCTGTCAGAGCAGACAGCAGAAGGAAGAAGCAGCAGCCTCTGTCGTCACACTTGGCCCCAGGCGGAGCCTTTTATCTATCAAACTTTACCGCACCGGGGGGTCTGCTGCTATTTTCGGCCTCCAATAATGTTTTCTTTTTCCCAAATTTTCCTGAAGTTAATGTTTGTTGCTGAGCAGTTGCAGCCAAAATTCACACAGCTACACACACAGACGGTGACTGGCTGGAGGAGCTTTGTTTGTTGCCTGGGATCGAGGTGTTGGCTTCAACACTGACAGACTGGGGAGCGGAGGGGGGACGCTGGAGACCATCAGGGCCTCGCTGAGTTAAATCACTTCGCTCGTTCTAGACGTGAAAACCTGCCACCACAGATTCAGTTACAGAGTTTGTAGATTTAGAGAGTGAGATTTTATACTGTAAGACTCTCATAAATAATTAAATAAAGCCTGTGGACCCACCACACAGGAAGATTTCAGTTGATAAGCAGCACAGCGGAGAGCTGGCAGCCATTTTTTAATATAAAGTCTTGATACTGATTCATGCCTGTGCCCTGCGCTGGTACCCTGTGGAGTGTTTCACGTGCCTGTTCATTGGTTATGATCCACAGTCCTGCCAGCGGACTCACATTATTTCACTGATCTATTGGTGCCAGTAATGCAACAAGAAATGTAGCAATGCCCCGGCAAAGGCAGGGAAGAAGAGCAATGCTAATAAAAGGACTGGACGCGGTGCCACTGATCAGCCTGCCACTGCACTGACACCATTATAAGGGGTATCTGTAAAACATTTGACAGGACACCTCTGGCTGCAAACAAGGTCGGTTATTATTCTTCATATTATGAGTCTGTAGACTGAGATGTTCAGGGGGTGTTGAGTTCCTGGCAGGAAAAACAGTGTGACGTGGGCTGGAAGACCTTTGTGTTGCCAACTTGGAGTCTGGTATCCAGCTTGACAAAGTAGAAAAACTGGCTTCGCATTTTACAAAAAGAGAAAAAGGAAAATGTCTGACATATTTCTCAGGCAACTCAGTTTGTTTTAGTGAGAAAACCTTGAATGTAAACAAGAATATTCCTCAGGGCACCGTCACAACCGAGAGAAATCAGAGATGAGCCACTGAAAAATGTACTTCATGCTTTGAAAGGAGGAAATTTATCATTTCTGACATTTTGTACATCTTGCAATTAATCGTTTAATTAAGAAATAATTAACACTTGTACTGAGAGGGAATGTAATTCAGTTGAAGGCCTAATTAAAAACTTTGGCCTTTTAACTAAATGTTTTATTTCAGACATGAATGTCCCTGTGTAAAACATGTGCGCTAGGTGAAGTCAGGGCCTCCAGCGGACATCAGGACTGAAGACACAAGTCAGAGGATCACACACCAAAGACAGAAAACATGGGACAACCCTCACCGATCTCTCACCGTTTAGCCGGTCAGCCTCCCAGACGCGTCCTCCGCCATCTTCCTCTCTCTGTCCAGAAGCAGCTCCCGTCCTCTCCGAGAGTGTCCGTCGGCCAGCCAGCTCCCGAACACCTCGCGTGCTCCTCCCACGACTGCCCCATTCTGTCCCCCGTTCTTTAACTCTGCCACGTTCTGCTGCCTCAGTCTGGTGAATCAGTAACAGAAAGTTGTCTCAATTTGCTTTAAAGGTATCCTGGCTTTCGCTTTGGAGCAATGTTGTCCTAGTAGTTCTGAAGGTACTGCAACACCTTTGCCACATCTCAAGGACACAACTTGGTCACACAACATGGTCAACTAAACAAGAATCCACCGAGCAGTGCTTCTTTTGTATTTTGGTGTTTATAAAACTGTTTGTATTATTTGCAGAAGATCAGGCTTTTTTCTGAAGAAATAATTAAAGAATGTGGTATATAATTATATTTTGTCTTCACATAAACACAGATGAAAATACTTTGCTCGATATTGTGTGTTAAAAATATTTGAAAAGATTTCAGCAGAAAACAACAAAAAAAACCAACCAACAACTCCATACATTTCAGGTGACAGGAAAGACCAGCAACCAGCAGAACGTCAAAGAGTCTGTAAAATCTATTAGTCTTTCAGAGCTGCAGGGAGCTGTCAATCTCTTTTTTTGGTATTTAAGCGACTGAGGTTATTGGTGTGATCGGATTTAACACAAGTGGGTCACAAGTGGAGCATTTGTTTTTAATTACAATGAGGAAAAACCAGCAATCAGAGTCATTTATTTCTAATGGATGACACTGCCTTCATGTAATGTGAGAGAAAAGCCCATACATGACCAGTCTGCGTCAGTCCGTGGAATGAAAACCGAGACAAATCTAATGCCGCGGCTCTATTTTTGCCAAAAAAAAAAAAAAAAAAAAAAAAGAATCAAATTGTACTTTATGAAATAAAAGGGATCAGTTTTAACTGCTGATTTTTATGAGAGGTGAACATCTCAGCCTGAACCCTGCCGACACTCTCGCTTAGCAGCTTTCAGCCATTAATCTATTTTCAGGTTTTACTGTAAATAAGCAGCAAAAATGACTCAGTACTATACCTTTGCATCACTGTCTCATTATTTCTCCTGTTGCCTGACTATTGCACTTAACAGACTGCGCTTCACTGTGCACAGAGCATATAAAACCAGAGGGACTTGGCTGTGCCATCAGTGCAGGCTCATACTATAGTGCTTTTCAAAGATTGAGCCTAAACCCAGGACCGACTCACGGGAAGAATAAAGCCCTTGCCCAGATTACTGTGCAGATATTGGTTTCCAACGTAATGGCTCTGTTATCTGACCAGAGATGTCCCAAGCTCCTGGAATGGAAGGCAGACTGAGTAAAGTCCTGTAAATTTGGAGGTTAATGTCCTGAAAACAGTGTTAATAAAGCAACTAAACAACATCACCACAAACCTGCTGAGGAGAAGAAGAAATTTATTTTTGACTCACAAATCACCACAAAAGGTGCAAATGGGTAGAAAATGATGCTGAGGCTGCCAGGGTGCACTTCAGTGAAGACCGAATGCACAAAATCTGCTCGTGAAACCAAATATGAGGGGTCTGAGAACAGACAGGGCCACTCGTTTGTGATTTCCTTTTTTTGTAATTAAACCTTCATTAAATTTTAAACAGAATAAAACAAGACAACAGAAGAACACACAGAGCAGGAACTAAACAGAGCACTCTTTTGTGATTTTTGACTACATAAATAAAATTTGGCTCTTTTTGTGAGAGGCCCAGATGTGTATGATCGCTGGTCAGTGATACCATTTCATATTTATTTCCATTATCTAATCTTTCATTACACACACAGAGAGAGAGAGAGAGAGAGAGAGAGAGAGAGAGAGAGAGAGGTGAATTGCAGAAGTATTTCCATGAGGACAGTACAAAAGCAGTTTCAACTGAAAGTCTCAAGGAAATTCAGAAATGCTGCACTGTCACTGGCCAAGATCTGGGGTTTGATTTGCTTCACTCCTCAGCCAAATGTGGTACATTACCCTGAGGATTAATTAAATGCACCTGAACACTGCAAAAAAATCCTGCCTTTATGATTTTATTGATGTACAGAAGAATTAGCAGCAAAAGTGTAAATCATTACTGCACCGACTTCTGTGGGCTGAAACATTCAACTCTAATCACACCACACGGGATGCAGCCGGGTCAGGTCTGTATAAGCTGCAACCACACCCATCTGTAAAGCAGCACTGGACATTTGTGCACAATGCTAAGTGCTGTGCAACACAAACTGTGGACAGAACACGCAGCAACCACCAGATGTGTCAAAGAAGCAGTATCACATTTTTAAAAATGCTGTATGAATACAGTACCTGCCAGCAAGCCGGTCACGGAGCTCATCATGCTGTTGGCTGCTCAGGGTGTTGGCCCGCTGCTCCATTAGCCAGCCCAGCTCCACCTCCAGCACCTTACTGCCGTTGCTCGTCACGGCTCCCTCCTGACAGTGCTGGATAATGCTAGACGGAGAATTTTCGGGGGAGCGCACAGGTGGCCCCTGACCTCCGTTCACTCCATAGTTGTGAAAAAGTTCTGTCAGCTCCAGGGCGCCGCTCTGCGGTCGGCTGTTGCTGAACCAGTGGGTGAGGTCGGCACGAGCCGGTCCTGTCCGAGCCTCCGGCTGGCGGACGAGCCTCCGGCTGGCTGAGCTCCTCAGGGGAAGGCCACCGTGTTTGAGCAAAATCGTCCTTGAGGAGTGCCAGGGATCGGCTGTCTGGAGGCACTGAGCAGGAGTTCAGGCTGGGGACGGAGGGCGAGATGGTGCTGGCAGTAATGATGGGCAGAGTGTGCGGAGGTGGAGGAGGGCTTTTCAGGTGAACCACCCCGGTGCTTGGCTTGTGAATCCCATTCAGCTGCAGAGTTTGGTTTTGCTGTTGCTCCTGATGTAGTCGTTTATCAGTGATGCCACCCATGCCAGTCCTCTTAGTGCCCATGGAGTTGAGAAGGGCTTGCTCTAGGTTGTCGCGGAGTGCACGGCGCTCCACGAACCAGCTGTCAATTTCCTGGTGAGACAGGCGAGTGGAGGCGGACAGACTCTCCACGTCGCTGTGTGTGGGGAAGCTGTTCCTCAAGAAGTTCTCCTCCAAGACCTTCAGCTGCTCCGCCGTCTTTCCTTTCATCCTCTCCAGCAGGGGAAACTGTGTCAGCACAGAGGACTTCTGTTGAAAATCTGGTTTCAGCGCTGCTGCCGTCTCACCACCATCCAAATGTATGACTCCGTTGTTGAGAGCGGTGGAGGTCTGATTATGGGGCCATTTGCCATCTTTGCGAGATGTCCCGTTGGCCTCTGCCAGAGGAGTCAGTACCTTGTCACCTCTGGGGTAGCTGGCTTTCAGCTCCACTCCCTGCTGCTCTTTTAGTTTCTTGCCGTCCAGTGGGAACCCTGGAATCTGGGACGGGGTTTTAGCCGGAGTGCGAATGGACTGAATAATGGGTGGCCTCCTTATCTGTGGGGTAATGAGTGGAAGGGAGTTTGGCAACTTCAAATCTGCAGTTGTAAGATTGTAGGATTTGGGGTGCTTTTCTTTGACGGGTGCAGCACGCGGAATAAGCATCGAGTTTTTAAATGGAGGGGCAAATATAGGTGGGGGAGCTATCATTGGCCGAGTTAAGGACTCTGGAAAGACTATGGAGGGTAGTGACACCACCGGCTTTGTTTTGGAGTTTCCTAACGTTGAGAGAATCTTCCCTTTGGACAACAAAGATGGTGATAAGGACGATGATGGTGGAGGCATTAAAGGCACAGCAGCGGATGGCCTCTTCATCTCTGTGGTGATCAGAGGAACTGCTACAGGTCTCCTCATCTCCATGGGAACAGGAGGTGAAGCCTTTGGGAGGCGGCCTTTTTGGAGGGGAGGGGGTGGAGGAGGAGCCATGAGGCCCTTGTCTTTAGGGTCACCAGAATGAGGGGCGACTGCCATGATGGGCCGTTTGGACTCCGGGCCAAACACCGTCGTGGGGTGTGTTGGCAGGGATCGTTTAAGGGTGTGGCCGGAGCCAACAGCAACTCCAGCAGGAGAGTTTGTGATGGTGTGTGCACTTAACCCAATGGACGCAGTTGTTCGGAGATGACCCGGATGCTCGACTGTGGTGTGAACAATCGGCTGCTGGGAGGACTTGGCAGACGGCTGAGAGACGGGGCTTGTAGGCAGGACGCTGAAGGTATGATGAGTAGGAGGGATGGAGCCATTGAACATTTTCTTCCTGGCTTCCTCCACCTCCTCTGGGGACCAGGTGATGCCTTGCTTTAGCCGCTGGGTGGTGAACCAGACTTTGATCTGTTCCTCCGGGTGCTTGGAGGCAGCCGTAAGCCACGACAGCTCGGCATGTGTTGGGTAAGGAAACTTGTTAAAGGATGTGATCAGTGTCAGGTTGTCGTCTAAAGAAGGATTGTAGTTGGTGGTGTTCAAGGGAACAGCTATTTTTGGTACAGAGTTCAAGTTGGGTGGGCGCTGGAGCATTGGGGTGACATGGGAGAGCCCTTGGAGGATGCTGGGTTCAGGGATGATGACTGTTCCATTGATGTTCACCGCTGTGATTTGATTCTTCTGGATCAGGCCATCCAGCTGGCTTTTCAATTTGCTCCCTTGACTGAGTGACTGGATACTGTCCGGGGTTTTCACTGTGGTAGATATGCAAGGTGGAAACACACAAGTGCTGCTGGTTTCACCCTGTTCATTTGTCTCTTCGCTTTCAGCTGAATTGTCCTTGCTTTCGATTGTCTGTTCTAAGATAGTCTGATTGTTCATTTTTATCCTCTTGAACTTGAAGTTTGTCTCGCCCGGGTGCTGGCTGTCATTGTGCTCTGTGAGCGAGTCAAATTTCTTGCTGTTGAAGTTGCAGATAGCACAGAGGTACAAAGGATTGAGAATAACATTAGGGTGGTTGGAGTCCACGTGCTCTTTAAAGTCATTCAAGTTCTGCGTTGAAAATGGGCAGTATTTGCACTCGTAGCCTCTGGGCTGCTTTTTCTGGGATGCGAGACCAGAGTCGGCGTGTTTCCTGCCCTCCTCCTCCCTGCCCTCTACATCTTCCGTGACAGGGGGCTGGTTTTCGCTTCCCGGCTGCTCCTCTTGTGGTAATGGCTTAGGATTCTTGTTTTCCACTGGTTTTGGAAACGACTGCTGGTCTGGATTCTCCTGCTGGGTGTCTTGACTCTTTTCTGCAGATTTAAATGATTCTGACTGTTCTTTCTCTATCACATGATTGTCCCTCAGTGTTTCTATGTCCATTAACTCCTCTGGATCATCTTGCTCTTCGGGCATGTCGCTGATGACCCGAACCATGCAGGGGGTGGAGGACTTTCTACGACTGGACATGACTGCTGCTGCTGCTGGTGATAATGGTGGCGCTGGTGTTGCTGATTGCGTTGAAGATATTCTGTTTTTTGGCTGCTGCTGCTGCTGCTGGTGCTCGCTGATGTTGTCAGCGTTTTTGAAGGGGTCTTACTGGGGCGGATAGGAGCTGATTGTTGTGGATACTGGTAAGCGGGTGGAGGTGGAGTCTCCAGTGTGCGAGAGGGAGGGCGAGAACCGGCTGACGGTGCTGGCCCAGGACCGGTTGTGCAGTGGCGTCTCCCGCTCACTGGCAATGTCAGATGCTGACCTGGGCGTCATGGGAGGGCATCACAGACAGCAGCGGCGCTCAAGCTGTGGGAGACAAACAGACAGAGAGAAAATTGCATGTTAATATTGTTTGTGTTTAGTGGGAGGTGCTGCAGCCACTTGGGAGAAACTAAAAGCAGAGAAAAATACATGTCAGAAGAACACAGACAGAAATCATGTTGATATTGTTTGTGTGTGATATGATGTGCTGCATTCACTGAGAACAGGCCACAGAACAGGAAAACACGACAGGCAATGACAGGTGTGGAGAGAACAGATCATTTACACTTTCACAAACAGGCAAACTACTGTACACTTTTGGTTGAAAAATCCTATTTATTTGAGAAATGGGAGATGAAACATCAACGGAGATTTATAATTTTACTGGATTCATTTCTTCTGAAACTATGTGCTCTATGTTACACGGTCCTAATAGGGATACTTTTAAAGACAGAAAGTTGGATATGACACAATCAACTTAACCTGAAAACTTTACAGATTCTGATTCAAATATTCTAAAATTTAACTGGGCACAGATTTGTGTGACAAATTTGATCTGTAGCTCCACATCAAAACCAGGAGGTTTCAGTCTTAATATAGAACAGGACACTTCGCTCTCTTTCTCGCCTTCCCTCTCCTCTAGAAACCTGGCTTTGGCTGTAAACACCACAGCAGCTTCATCGGGTCTGGTTTAATCAGGTGGCGGCAGGCGACAAAGCCAAGGCCAGAACCTGAGGATGACATGAGCCTGACTGACAACTCAGAGCGAGAACGCCGCTCCCAAAAATCACCACGAATCCAAGTGCCACTTAATTAGAACACGCTGTTCCAGGCCAATCACATGTAAATGCAATAAACTGAAGCGTCCACTGCAACTACAAAAGACAAAAAAAGTCTCCAAACCCCATTAAAAAGACATTAAGTGTCTTTCATAGATTGGGGCAAAGACAACTTCACAGGATAATTACCCTGTAATCATGTAATAAGAGCGACTTGGTGATGAGATCTGCTGACAGCTATCATCCACACAATGGGACTGAGAGAGCAAGGTAAAAACTAATGGGGAGAACGGGGGAGGGGAGGAGGGACAGGTATGAATAAATATAGGAAGAGAGAGAGTAAAGGGTAAAAATAAAAGGACAAAAGCAGGTAAAAGAGGGAGAGAGGGGGAAGTAGTATGATATGGAAAGAGAAGGAAGTGGCAAAGAAGCACAAAGAGAAAGAAAAAGAGGGGAGAGTCTCGAAACTTCCAAGCTGATGAAAGAGAGCAGGCACAAAGCAAAAGATGTTTTAACTAGGCCATGGCCTGGCAGACAGAAGGAGGAAGACGACCGCGAAAGGAAACAGACAAGGAAGGAAAGAAAGCAGATAATCATTAGTGGGAGGAGGAAGAAGGAACAGCAGTGTTTTAAGAGGCAGAAAGAAGACAATCGAAAGCAGATGAAAAGGACCAGAGAGAGAAGAGGAGAAGCCGAAATATCACAAAAAGTAACATAATAAAATGAGGTTTTGGTGCATTTTCTATTAGCAGTTGAAGCTTTGGAAAGGTGATCCAGTCATCTGGGAGGAAAAACACACACATTTGCCAGAAAAGTGAGAGTATTTCAACACTTAATTAGTACCGGGCAAGCTGTTATTTGTCCCAAGCGTCACTTAATGTTGGACATATTTCATGCTCTCACAGCCTTGATCAGCTTCTCCCAACCTGCATTGAGACACATTGGATAGCTGCAGAGCTCCCAGTGTCCTGTTTGAATTGTTGTGTTGTGCAATGAGACTGAACTAATTATGTGTTATTATAAATCTCATGCATTTACATTGCTGTTTACTACACACTTCAACTAATGAGGTTCTCTCCAAAAGCAATGTGATACTGACTAGAGCTGGAAGATCAGCTGATTAATCAACTGACAGGAAAGTCCTCAACCTTAACCTCAATACTTTTTAAGAACAGGCCTTAATGTGTCCATCTTCGACGTCTTCAGGAGTTCAGACTTTCAGACTCAAGCCTTTGTAAATGGACCCAGGACGGACACGGTAAATCTACAAAGACCAGGGCATCATAGTGACCCAGTCACACGTCACTTCTTCGCTTCACTGTCAAAAAAAAAATGTACATATACATATTCATTTAATATAATATAAAATAAAATATAAATATATCTATAATCATGGGCCTGAACCAAGACAGGGCCTGGATCAGGCCTCCGCCACCAGGAGACGAGAGCCCATGAAGTCCAAATAGCTGAGTATTGAAAACTTTCAGGATTTAGGCGACAAGTTAACAGTTAACCCGGTCAGATTCTTAGAGCTGGTGACTTCCTTTTCTAACCAGATAGTTACTAATATAAATCAATCACCTTCTCAAACTTAGGGGAAAATTTACTAAGGCTTTGCAGATCACTTTTGTGGTGCTAAACAGTGAAGTTGTGTGTGTTTATAATTACTAAAAAGTCACAATGGGGTTCTGCAGCAGAGAAAAAGCTGAAAAGCAGTGGATGCATTAAGATAACCATGGATTCCAGACTCATACACGGTGCCCAGTCACTTCAATGTCAGTTGCTCGCCAGGTGCAAACGGCAAAAATATTTCTCTTCCAGGTTTGCCTACTGCACATGCACATTACTGTTTCCCCCGCCGGCCCCACTTGGCCCACAGACTTTACATTGGGACGGCGTCACCAAAATAAAAAGTTTTCCGGGCTTTGGGGAAGTTTTACAAATATAAATCCTACATGAATTAAAAATTCACAATACAAAGAGTGATAACTGACCTCGTTTGTGGTTTGAGGTGTCCTCTCAACAGTTTTACAGTGGGCTATGGAGAAAATCCACTTTGGGTGGTAATAGGATATTTCATCGTAGCACCACCAGTGGCCCCTGGGCAAAACTGGCAGAACGGCCAAGTGTGTTTTCAGGTGTTTCTTAAAAATATCAGCAGATTAGAAAACCGTCTAGTGGCTGGAGAAAAAGCTAATACTGATCAAATTTTAACAAATCGTGTACGTTTGCATTTTGTACTTCTGTCCATGTTGTTTTGCTTAAAAATACTTTGCCAGGACTCAGCTGCTGCCAGAGGTAAAGACAGAGAAGCAGGTTGGAAAAAAAGATAAATGAACAGAAAAAGAAAAGCATGTAGGAGGAGTTGATGAGAAGCGAGCAGGGAGTACATGTATAGGAAGAGGTGAGAGAGAGACGCATGTGTAGGAGCCAAAGCAAAAGAGAAGAAAGTACCAGAGATCAACAGTAAAAAGGTTGATGGAAAAGGACAAGACAGTGTAGGAGGAGAGACACAATTTAGATGAATAGAGGAAGATGGAAGGAGAGAAAAGACGAGAGAGGACTGAGAGAGAGAGTTTAAATGAACAAAGATTCATGTAACAAACAGAGGGAGAATCAGAGGCAGACAGAGCTGCAGGCTGAAGCATTTCACTCAAGTAGCAAGGGGGCCTCGCTTCGTGTCGGTGAGGAAAAGCTCCAGCGGCAGAAAAAAGCAAAGAAAAGGGAAAAACACACACACACAGTGTCATGTTTTGCTGCATCACTGGATCGGCCCCCAGGACTCCGGGCCAACTTTTAAGGAGAGGAGTCGTATGCCGCTTGGCTGGATCCCATTTTGTTGGGCTCAACTCGCCTCCACGCATCCTTGTAATTACCTGCACAGTATTTGTGTACAAAGCATTGTTCAGAGCACGGCAGCACTAAGTAATTATGGAGAAAATAATAAAACTGCAGCAGCAACAACAGCGATTTGCAAATTGCAAGATGCAGCAATTTTTCCTTTTTAATTTTTCTCCAACCAAACAAAGTAATTCTTCCCCCCTTTCTTTCAGCTGACAGATATTTAGAGGCCAGATTCAGCAGCGTTAATCTGATAAATCGTGTGCCAAAGACAGCTCTCAGACCAGGATGGGACACCGAAACTCCCCTGAAAGTGACACCAAAGTAACCCGAGTGGAGCAGCTGGGTGAAGCAGGGTTCACTGCAGGTTTTACAGGCACTGATGAGCGAAAAATATCAGATTTTCACCTCCATCAAGGGCAAAGCAAACCATCAATCTAACCACAAACTGTAGCCATCCATCTATCTGACTGCACTGTGGGCAATTCAGTCTGCATGTCATAGTGAACAAGGACGTATCAGAGAGAAAAAGAGGAAGTCATAAACCAACTCAGAGATAGGAAAGAAGGTAATGAGGAGATATCCTGGGAAATGAAATGACAAATTAGGAGGATCAGAAAGAGCCGAGTGCGCTAACAGTAGGGGTTAAAGACATTTTACTGGAACAAGGGCAAACTGGAGGGGGCGACCAGGGCCGACAGGGAGGGAGGCTACGAACATTTCTACACAGTAAACTAATCCCCCAATGCTCACCCTGTGGTTACCGAGGGACCTGAACTAGGGTGCCTGGTGTTTCTATAACACATCCTGCAACTAAAAGCTCAGATTCACTGATGCAGGGCATTGTCCCAGACTGATCACCGATCCAACACCACTGCTCCTTCGGGCTGAAACATGCACCCAACTACAAGGGCTGATTCTCACACACTGTTGTGTGCTTCACCACTCTGGCTGTATGTGGCTCTGTTTTGCCTCACAAACCAACCAGCTAACAATCAAGCTCCTTTCTCACATTTTTAACTCTGAAACTTTGCTGTTAATGAGATGTAGTCCCAACTACGCTGATTAGTATCCTGATTACCATGTTGTTCTTTGCCAGGCTTTGGTAACCATGTAACAAAGTGTATTTCATCCATTGTATTTCAAAATGACCTCTGAACAAAAACAGCCCATCTTCCTAAGAAAAACAACAGCATCAGTGGTTTTAACAAGGGCCATGACACCTAACCAAACACTACCCCTGACACTGTCACATCGTTAAACATATTTATTTCCATGAGTGTTCAGACGGCGTCCTGCTGAGTGGCACCAGATTTGAAATCACCTCTAGAGCATGTACAACAACTCTTAAAAGTGAAAGACCTGTTTGACAAAAAGTACAGAAAAGTCCAAAGAGTTTTTCTAATACTAGCCAACTCTTAATAG